ATAAAGGCAGAAAAATTTTCTGCAGAAGCTTTTGAAGCTGCAACAGCTATTGGAGTAATCTTGTATGACATTCCTGATTGCTCACAGAAGCATTACAAAATAGAAAAGTCGCCGGCAAAAGGAGGAGGACCCACCACTCATACAGTTAGAACATCTTTTGAAACTGCATTTGAGGTAGATAAACAAGTAGCAACTGCACTTAAGGCTGCCCTTCTTAAACTTGCTAATTGCCCTTCCATGAACAAAGATGAAGTCAAGGAACTGCTGCACAGAATAAGTCAGAACCCTGAAACAGACGATAATCATCAAGAACTGTCTGAGTTCTCTTCAGAATGTGAATCAGATACAGCTTCTGAATTTGAGAGCCTTTGTTCTGAAGTCACAGATTCAGAGACAAAATCCGTGCAAAGGAAATATAAAAAGAGGCAGGCATGTGAAAAGTTTAATATGCCAAATCTTGTGGAAATGATGCTGGAAAGACTTAGATGTTTGCAAGAAGATGAACTTGCATCTCTTGCCACTATAGTTGCAACGTGTGGGTTGAACGCTGCTCTAGCTGAAGCAGAAAAGAGCAAACCGCATGTTTCAGGGTCCGCTGCTGATGACAAATCAGAATTATCCATTGGAGAAGGAGCAGTTGACGGGTATACTTTGGATGGGAAGACAAGCAGGACAAATGAGGAACTTCCGAGCCTCGATAAGTTTCTGGTGAAGCGGTTAACAAGACTTGAAAGGGAGGTATTAGAAGCCAAAAATGCTAGGAGTGAAGCTGCGGAAAAAAGTGAACAAACGCGAGATAAATCTGGTAATAAAGTGGTTCATGATTCAGGCCATGATCTGGCAAGTATTCTCAAGAAGCCTTCTTCAAAATTTAAAAAGGAAATTGAAGAGGCCAAGAACAACTCCGAAGTGTTGTTAAAAAGCAAGTGTAAAGCTTCAAATAGCAATGTGCATTCATCTGAGGTTCCTGACTTTGGCAGTGTGCTCGTTAAGCACTCCTCTAAGCTTGAGAAAGAGATTGAAGAGGCTAAGAGGAAAATTGGTGAAATAGAGGGCAATAATTCAAACAGATTGGGTACTGTGGCAATTGGTCGAAAAAAGGAACATGAAATGGAAGTTCCTAGACTAGAAGATTATCTGGTGAAACATATGACAAGACTTGAAAAGGAAGTTCAAGAAGCAAAAAATAGGAAAAACACTGCAGAACCGATTGCCAATGCGTCTGAAACTACCTCATTGGTAGGAAAAGAAAATGTTGACCAGAACGTAAATCATGATACCAATACAGATGGAAATCCTTGTAATGGAGAACAACCATTAAAGCCAGCAGGCACATTATCAATCGAAGATGAAAACAAAGAAGCAGCGGATAGTTTGGACAAGATCCTAGTAAAGCCAGTTCATCGTTTGCAAAGGCTTAAAATGCAAGAATCATCCACAAGAAGTGACTACGTTGCACAGAGGCGTCAAAGAAAGATTGAAGCTAATGGTGCAACAGATTGCGAAAGTTTGGATAAGATTTTAGTGAAGCACGTCTCGAAGCTTGAAAAAGAGAAAATGTCTCTTCATGCAAAGGAAGACAATTGGATGAATGTAAAGAAGAGGGACACGATTGGTAAACAAATGGAGAACAGTGAAGGCAGTTTGGATCAGATTTTGGTGAAACACAAGTCTAGACTTGAGAGAGAAAAGATGGCCGCTGTTAAGCAGGAGGATGATGATCAGATAAGACATTCAGTTACTCGGAAAGAGACGAGGGAGAGAGAGTTGCAAGAAGCTTGGGGAGGCTTAAGTCTTGGGAACTCTATGCGTCCTCATATGTCTAGACTTCAGCGGGACAAGGCAAGTGCACTGTTCTTTATTCATTATATAGTGCACTTTTATAATCAATCCAAAACTACTGCAAAATAATGTTCTTTTTTCTGCCTCCTATGACATTTTCATGTTCTTTCTGTAGGCTGCCTGGCAAAAGGCTGAAGAAGAGGAGAGGATGAGAACTGTGGAGGAAGTATGAAAATCTGAGCCATTTCACTTTCTTAGAATTATGCTTGTGCGACAGATTGAAGAATCTATGATCTGTTTTAGATTAGAAATTTCGTAAATTCTTTGTTTTTCTTCTCCCATGCTTTCGTACATTCTCGTATAGTGGTCTCGTGCTAGATCTTTTTTGGTTCTTTTTTGAGGTCAATGCAGTTAGAATGCTTACTTTGTTTTGCTTCAGAATGTGTCACTGAAGGTTACAATTTAAAGAAGAGTGGTGCAAATCTGTACAGAACTGATTTTGCCTAAATTCCTTTTCTGTTTTGTTTATGAATGAGCTGTAAAACCAGTAGAGATGTTTGTCTTCATCAGTTGGGAGTAACTAACCTGCTTTTATTGAATTTGTAAACTTGAATGAGTTGAACTTGGCTGAATTTGACGTGTGCCTTGCATCACCTTTTTTGTAACACTTGTTCACTTTCTATTGAGAATCAAGCCGTTATGTCCAGAGGCGGATGTCGTGCATCGTTGACGGGTTCAATTGAACTCATAACTTTTGACGCGGAGTAAAAAATTTATATGTAAAAGTTTATTAAAATTGTAAAAATAGTAGATACGACCTCATAACCTTAAATATATAATGAGTTCAAAGCTAAAAAGTTTAAAAGTTGAATCCATAGGATTTAAATCTTGGATGCGCCTCTGGCGTCAGCTTCCTCACCAGTGACATGTTAAGGCCTAATATCAGAAATTATTGCATTTTCCCGGATAGTGTAAGTAATTACACACATAAAGGATAAAAAGAAAAAAAAGGGCAGCTCGGTGCACTAAGCTCCCGCTATGCGCGGGGAAAAAAATTTGGCCGTATCTTATGTAGGCATTCTACTATAATAAAGTTGAAGTAAACCTAAAAATCATGTCTTGGAAAAAAAATCATGTAAAGGAAATTTTCTCAAAGAACCTGCAATACGAACTAGTGAGATTAAGTCTTAGTTGTTTATACACTTACGAAGTATGATGTTTGGCAAGAGCCATTTAGTCTAATTATACGCTTGTAGTTAGTGTAGGAAGAATGTCAGAATTCTTTTAACTTTTAATTTTTAGAGAACAAATATTGTGGAATAAATATAGAAGATTTATATAATCAAATCTAGCCAATTTGAAACTGAGACATCATTATTTGGTTTCATCAATTTGGGTCCAATAAAAGTTTGTACTAAAAGATTAAATTTCTACTTTAAGGAGTATCTTTTTTCCGAAATGATCATTAAATATAAATTACTTACTATAATAAAATCCAGCTTTTAACTTACTATACATTTTTCAGGGTGGAGAATTACATGATAAAGTTTAAAAAGAAGTCTTTTAGCTGGCACTCTGTTTTTTCCTCATCCTTTGCCTGTTAGTTCTTAATATTAATAAACCTTAAATGTTACAACAACAACTTAGTGTAATCTCACAAGTGGGGTCTGAGGAGGGTAGGATGTACGTAGCCTTACCCCTACCCTGATAGGACAGAGACTGTTTCCGATAGACTCTCGGCTAAAGAAGGTGAGAGAAGCCCTTGTAGCAAGTAATAGCAAAACAATAATTAGAAAACTAAATCGGAGATAGCAACAAATAATATGAAATGGGTACTGATAACAAGTAGTAGCAAGATAACATATTTAGAAAACTAATTCCAAGGCAGCAGACGAGAATATGAACGAAGTACTGCTAGCAAACTACGGAATTACCAATGGCAAATAACAACGAAACAAGACATGCGAATATAGAAAACTAAGGAAAAAAGGGGACCGTACTAGCGCTAATACTATCGAGCTAGAGAAAACAAAGGGAGATGCACGACTACCTACTAACCTTCTACTCTAATCTTCAACCTCCACACCCTTCTATGTAGAGTCATGTGTTAGCTCAAGTAGCGTCATGTCGTGCCTGATCACCTCTCCCCAAGACTTCTTTGGCCTACCTCTACCCCTCCTCTCACCTCCTAAGGCCAACCTCTCATATCTCCTAACAAGGGCATCTGCGGTTCTCCTCTTAACATACCCGAACCATCTCCATCTTGCCTCATGCATCTTTGCCTCCACAGGGGCCACTCCCACCTTGTCTCGAATAACTTCATTCCTAATTCTATCCAACCTAGTATGCCCACACATCCATCTCAACATCCTCATTTCCGCTACCTTCATCTGCTGGACATGTGAGCTTTTGACTGGCCAACACTCTGCCACATACAACATAGTCGGTCTAACCACTACCTTGTAGAACTTACCCTTAAGTCTCAACGACATATTCTTATCACACAAGACACCGGAAGCGAGCCTCCACTTCATCCACCCTGCTCTGATTCGGTGTGTGACATCCTCATCTATCTCCTCATCCTTGAATTATAGATCCCAGATACTTGAAACTCTCTCTCCTGGAAATGACTTGCGTATCGAGTTTCACATCCCCGTCCGCCTTCTGGGTAACATCGCTGAACTTGCACTCCAAGTATTCTGTCTTGGTCCTGCTCAACTTGAAACCCTTAGACTCCAGGGTATATCTCCAGACCTCCAGCCTCTCGCTGACGCCGCCTCGCGTCTCATTAATCAGGACTATGTCATCCGCAAATAACAAGCACCACGACAACTCCCCTTGAATGTGACGTGTCAAAGAATACATTGCCAGGGAAAACAAAAATGGGCTAGGTGTTGATCCCTAATGCAACCCCATCTCAACCAGAAAGTAATTCGAGTCTCCACCTGTTGTCCTAACCCGTGTCTTAGCTCCATCATACATGTCTTGAATCACTCTAATATATGCTACAGGCAATAAACCTTAAATGTTCAAACATAAAATTTTTTTAAAAAAAAAAAAAAAAAACTGCCTTATAGGGTAGAAACAAAAGTTTAAAATTAACTAAGAAATATTATTGAGCTTGAAATTTCAGTTGAGGCCTTGAGGGTTGAGAGTTTGTTACACACAAAAGCTCACAGTGAGAGTGTGAACACTCATCCACTTCCTCTCTTAATAACTCCTCCCCAGTACAAACAACACAACTCTCAACAGTAAGGACAGCTTCCAGATTTGACTTGACCTCTCGTATAACACACTCTTATTGGTTCTACTTCTACAGTTCTACTACTACCTGTACTTTTGCCTACTTCTTGACTTCTCACTTCCACCAATTTTCTCCTCTCAATGGATTTTCCTTCCTCCTTTCTCTTCTTCTTCTTCTTCCTCATCACCATCCTTCTATCTCTGTCCCCTGCTTTCTCCACGAATTCTGAAGGTAAATTCCCTAAAACTTAACTATCTACCCCATGTATTCCTTTTGTCATTCCTAGGGTTTAAAGCTTTTAGTTTTTTGTTACCATGTGAACCCCTCTTTGGTTTTCTTTTCTTTTCATTCATTAGTGTATACCCTTTTTCAGCTCAAAGGATTTGAGTTAAATCTTGAAATGAACATACTTATATAAAAGTAGAAAAAAGGTTAAATCTTGAAATGGACCCATCTTCCTAAAAAAATTTGTTGTGTTCATCTTATAGGAAATGCTCTACATGCTATGAGAAGCAGACTCTCTGACCCCACAAATGTTCTACAAAGCTGGGACCCAACACTTGTTAATCCTTGTACCTGGTTTCATATCACCTGCGACTCCAATAATCATGTTATTCGCCTGTAAGATGCTACAGCATTTTCTAATTTCTGTCGATTTTTTTCTTTTGTTTTGTTTTCCCCATTGGCAATTCATATAATTTTGTTTAATCTTTGAAAATTTTCAGGGATTTGGGCAATACTAATATTTCTGGAACATTAGGACCAGAGCTTGGTGAACTCAAGAATCTACAGTACCTGTATATTTTTTTTTTAACCTCTTTTTCTTGTTTTTTCTTCTTGTGTCAGCTTAGTATCTCCTGTTGGCTGAACTGAAACCGTGGAAAAAGAAACTGAAAAGGGGCTTTTGTTAGACAAAGAAATGTGTATAGATTATTTGTCACATGATTAATGTTGTTTCTGTCTTCAAGTTTCTTGTGTACTTCTTAAATTGCAAGTTTATTACTTTCTTGTGTGTCTTTAAGGTGACGGGCAAACATTTTTCCTGAATTGCAGGGAACTTTATAGGAATAATATTGGAGGCAAAATCCCAAAGGAATTGGGTAATTTGGAAAATCTTATTAGCATGGACCTATATGGCAATAGATTTGAAGGCAATATTCCCAAGTCTTTTGCTAAATTAAAGTCTCTTAGATTTTTGTAAGTATTTGGCATTCAATGATTCGTGAGGTTTACAAATTTTTAGCAGACATTGGTGTTACAAAGATTGATTTTTTTTCTTCATGTTATTACCACAGGCGGTTAAACGACAACAAACTAACTGGTCCGATTCCAAGGGAACTCACCACCCTCCCCAACCTTAAAGTTTTGTAAGTTCTGTTTTAAATGCAAACCTCAAGCCACGTGAAACCTGCTGTTAGTTTCATATTTTGCTAAGAAACAGGAAAAACAATCAAACAATGTGGTATTGATTTCTGGTCGAGTGAATCTTTTAAATATCATTGTTGCAGTGATGTTTCTAACAATGATCTTTGTGGAACAATCCCCGTTGATGGCCCCTTTGGAAGCTTTCCTATGGAAGGGTATTCACTCTTGTCATTCTCTCTTCCTTCTTGAATATTCACTTACAACATGTAACGTGCTCTAGTTATCCCTGGATTTGGAAGTGGTTCAGTAGATTATTGCCCATGTTATTGGTGAAAGTTATTTTAAGCTTCATTTTGTTAGCTGTTTTACACAGGGGGGGAACAATTCTATTGAAAGGCCAGTTGCTTCATGATATAATTGTGATTTATGGTTCATAGACACAGGTTGTAGATGCACAGCCTTGCATTATTAAGTTTAATCTAACCTATTGCAAAGATAATCTTCTGTCAAGTCATTAGTTAGTAGTTGGGTACTGACTTGGTGCAAGTGCAATTACATGACTTTATGGCACTGCCTAGCCTGTAAATCGCGTATCTACTATATGCCCTTGGATCGTTATGGGATCTTAGAGACTATTGGTTGGTCTAGTAAACTATTTCTATTCATGTACTTATGTTGTTGAATTAGGATGATACAAACGACACCAAGTGTACCGGTTCCTCAAATCTATCATTCTTGGATCGTGATAGATCATTGTAATAGGTAGGGATTTGATATTTGTGCCACAACCAGACTTATAAAATCAAAATCCAAACTCCAAACAGAAAAGTAGAGGAGCTGCCCTGGGTTACACATATTTTGGGATCTTTAACTTTGTAGTGTAATTTAATGGTAGATTCATAACTTTTATTTCTTAATGTTGTGAAATGTTTTATGTTCTACTACTTCTAGTGAAATGAGAAAATAAATGGCTCTGCTTTCTACAATGCAATTTTTTTTTTGAGATAACTGTGGTGCCCAAGGCAGCTTGCACCATTAATCCTCCGGGTATATGCTACCTCCTACTAGCACAAGTATCAGGTATCGAATAACTCTGTCCAACACAGTTTAGACAGACAGGAGAAACCACCCAAAGTTTTTTGCCTCTATTGGGATTTAAAACCTGGACTTCCATGATCTTCTGAAATGCAATATTTTTTTTTAAAGTGCAAAATAGTGAATTCCTCTCGGATGAGAGTCTGAACTGCCTTCTGATGTTCCCTTCTTATCTGATCATGATTCAAAATTTGTGATGTGAGACCTAAAAAGTGATAACATTTTCCTCTTGTTTCAGTTTTGCACACAACAGACTGAATGGACCTGAGCTGAAAGGACTAGCGCCCTATGACTTTGGATGCAAAGAGGTCAAACTATAGTTTGATAGCAGCCCCCGGAAGGTTGCTTTATGGTATCATAACATACCTACAATATTTTATGTATTGTATATGTGGTTTGACAGTGTTAAAACCCTGAAGTCCAATACAGGTCATGTTAGCTCCAGCTAGCATATAAGGTTCTTTAAAACCATCACTAAAGCTCAACTTCATCTGTAACTTGGCAGCAGAAAATGGCGGTGTCTTGCTGAGTTTTAAACTTGTTAAATTAAGTGGTAGATGGTTTTGAAATGAGTTTTCTTCTCAAAGTGTCGGATCAATGATCTCAAGTATAATTTATCTTTGTTTTGTGCCTGAGGTATAATGTAGCAGCTCAGTCCGCTAATGATATTGTCCGCTCTGGGCCTGTATGTAACACCCCAGATTTTAGACATAGTCTCACGTCGACAAAACACAAGAGGGATGTTAGGACGTATAAGTGAACAAGCCTTGGACTCTAGTGACGCGTTTTAAGCCGGTGAGGGCTTACATAGCATAAGAAGATTACAAGCAATGTTATGAAAGTTGTACAAATGAATGGATAAGTACTGTACAACTGAAGGGATAAATATTATCTATCTTGTTATATCCATCAACAAGCATAAGATGAGGTAGCCATAACGGTATCAGTCCTAGCAGAAAGAAGAAATTGAAGCTAAACATACAAATCATTTCTTCCCATTTAACTGAACCGTCAGACGACGAGAGTTAGAATATCATTTGTAAAAATTGGTAGTCTAAAGCGGATGGAAGAAATGTACTTTTTAAATTGTCAAATTGACTAATTTCCTAGGGAAATTTTGATGTAAATCAATCAAAATGTCTGACATAAAAGAACAGATTCCGCATTAGTTTGTAATCACAAAGTTGACCCATAAAAGTAACAAAGCTTATAAATCACAAAACAAGATTCCCATGTTAATAAGTACGTGACTACCAGGGTTGTTCGTCAGTCGGTACGGCACGGTATTTAAACATTTCGGTTCGATATTTTTGGTATTCGATTTCTTAAAATGCAATATCAATACCATACCTAATTAAATTCGGTATGGTTCGATTTTTCTCCTTTCGGTTTCGATTTATTCGGTTTGGTAACTTCGGTTTATTTGGTTTGAATACTAACTAGTGCATAGAGACATAAAATGTAATATTCTGAATTAAAGTACTCAAAAGTACAAAATTAAAAACATTTGTTGACCAAAGTTTTGTCCAAAACTAGCAAATGTCAACTTAAAGAGAGAAAACTATACATAAAAGAATAAATTTCGGTACGGTATTAGTATTTCGGTATTTCATTTTAAAATATCAAATATTAATTTTTAAAATTTAAACCAAATACCATACCGAATACCAAATATCAAAATTTTTGGTTTCGGTACGGTAATTTAATATTTACCAAATTATGCATAGCGCAAGTGACTACTATCAACAAGACAAAAGTAAAATAATTCTTGAACGCGGGGAACTACAATTTGGCACGTGAAGTGCAGCTAAGTTAAAGAACGGGGGTCGTCGTAGAAATATGCAAGACTTAGAGGACTCAGAAAGCAACGAATGAAGTGAGCTGGAAGTCCTAAACACGTGTTAAAAGGAGGATGGAAGTACGGAATCATGTCAACAAAAAGTTGTTGTTGACGTGGCTGTTACCTTAAATGCTGGAAACCCTTCAATGCGATTCGGCGTGTGAGCCGACTTTCTGTACTCGCTGTTCTAAACAAATTGTATACTCTCGGGTATTGCCTTTTTTTTTTTTTTTTT